AATTCATATTTAAATGATTTTTTTTTTTTTTTTTTTTGATGTTAATTTTCGAAAGCTAACTCGATCAAAATTAAAATTTTATCACTTTTACACATTTTGTTATCACAAATAATTTCACTTAATAATTACTCTCAATTTTCTTCAAGACGGAGAGAACAAAGAAACTCTGGGATAGTTACAGAAGTAGGAAGTTTAGGTTAAAACAAAAATCCTCACTTACCGTCAACACATTCCCTCCTCGAAAAAAACTAAATGCAATGTCAACACCAGTCACAGTACTATATGAAAAAAACCAAGTTTCGTGTTCTGTTGATGTATCTCAACCCATAAGCGAGATTATAAAGACATTATGTATAGAACAATTTAATATTTCAGAATCTCCTAATTTACTCGCATTAAGACTTCAAGATACTGATGAATTAATCACGGATGAGGTATTTATTTTAAAATTTATTCTAGATAAAACAAAAATAATGAGAGATTATCAGTATATTACTAAAAAATATCTTATTAATTAGAATATCAGACGAAAAATAACAGAAAATGAAAGATTGAAACTTGTATCTTCACCACTTATTGAAGCTGCCGATACATGTGAAAAATTGGGTTCTACTGATGATAAAACTTTAAAGCTTACAACTTTTTCTCTTCAAAAATATATAAAGGTATAATTATATTGAACATTATAATTATTTGTATTGCGTAAAAAATTTACAATATTTAATATGATGTTTACGTAATTAATAGGAAGTAGAATTCGCTGATGAATTTTTTAAAAAGGGTGGATTAAAATCTTTAATTGAAATAATAAATAATTCCAGTGGTAATACATTAGCATATGCGTTAACATCAATGCAAAACCTTATGGAACATGATCATGGTTGGGATGATTTAGCTTCAGATTTCATAAATAAGGTTTGTTATTTATTCATTATATTACAATATAGTGCTTTGTTAAATTTAACGTATATTAATTGGTATAAATTGTTTTATAGGTGATAAAAATATTGGTAGATCAAACACTTGTAAACATATGTCGGCCAGCAACTGCCATAATTATAAAATTAGTCACCGCAGATAAAAATTTCACTACTTCACCAATACGGTCTTATGGTTTTGATGTATTGCATGAAGCGATATTACTTCAACCTAATTTTCTACCTACTCTAGTGCAACGCTTTGCTTCTGCTGACTATGTGTTACGATCAAATAGTTTATGTTTGATTAATGCACTTATGAGACATGTTACAGATCAATATTGGGAATCATTTATGGACATGTTGGATAAGTTGAATGTTAGAAAAGCTGTTGTGGTATGTTTAAAAATTGAATAGAATTATTAGTAATTTGTAAGAATTCGTTTATTTTTATATTCCTGCTTGAATGAAATAATAAATGGTATAATATTCATTTAATTTATTTTTTTAGCATTTGATGAATGGAGTTCATGTGGAAGAATTATCAAAACATTTATTAGAATTTCAATCATTATTTGTTCGACAAGCATATAGATGGAAAAGGACACAAGTGTCATTACATATTCCGTCACATAAAATTATGTTAGAAGAAATTTGGAAGGCTGCAAATTTACCTGAAGAAGGCGGTAAATGGAGAAAAGTCGGATTTGCGGTAATGAATTGAATTTTTTTTTTAATTATTTAATAAAATTAGCTTTTTTAAATATTGTACTAATTCACTTTTATATTACATATAAGACGGAAGCGCCAAAATGGGAAATTCAACGTGTTGGATATTTAGGACTTGATAATATGCATGGGTTTATGAAGAAAAATCCAGATGAATATCAAAAAGTAAGATAAAAGAGCTAACATTTGTTAGATAAAAGCTTTTGTACATACCATTTACCACTATATTTCTAAGGCTGCAGATATTAGGTCATAAAAATAACAAAAGGTATTGATACGTGGATTTCACAACCTCAATAATATGATATGATATAAAGGATAATCTGTAAAATGTTTACATATCATACCTAAAATCTTATTCATGAATAATACTTTGTATGGAACTGGGTACTATATTGAGTATAAATTAATAAAGAATTAAACTCGTATAGATGGTGCAATGTTAATCGGAAGTTTCCAATCAAATTTATTGGAATTGGAATTCCAATAAAAACATTGGATAACATTATAACATTAGATAATTAGAAATTTTTTATTGGAAGACTCCCAATCAATACACACCAACGATTTATACAAAATTATCCTTCTAATACACCTTCCAATAAAAGATTAATAATTAGAGGGCATTAGTATTGGAAGATCTATTATTTCCTACCTTTCAATCAATAATACTGGTACCAGAGTCTTAATCAGTGAGGTATACTATTTCATGTATACTATATATTGTGGTAAACGGTAACATCTAAAAAGGGGCCTACTATAATATATAAATGTCAGCTCATTAAAATTCAAAGTTTAAAATTATCGTAATTATGTCAACTGATTAGCATTTATACATTTAATGATATACGTTTAGACAATATTAGAACAAATCAATCGACCTGCCGAACGTCGATACCAGTTTGCGAAGACATCTATCGAAGTTACGGAATTGCTATGTGATTATTGGGACGTTAGTACAGGATGTAAGAATTGCCCTGTATTTCATTTATCGCATAGTATTCTCGTTATATTTAAATTTTAACAACTTTGAATATATTTTTGAAGATACAACATCAACGTCATTTCAACCTTTATTATTATCGTTTGACAAAATTCACTATATAACCGTAAAGGCATTTTTCCGGTTATGGAACGATATGGAAGCGACTGTTGATGATTTTCCCAAGGTATCTGCATTGGTAAGAAGTCAATTAAAATATGCGCTACGTGACGAAGCGACAAAGCAACTTTATGAATTCGAAAAGGATATGTTGGAAGTTGAATATAAAATTATTAGAGATAGGCAATTAAAAGAATTAGAACTCGGTGATGATCTATTAAGTAAAACGCCTGTCAGGTTAGTAAATAAATAATTCATTATGTATATTCATTCGAAATAAAAATGTTGATATTATTATTTTTTGAAATAGAAATCTACGAGAACAATTATATACAGAATCTTATGAATTCGTTAAGCAACAACGTATTAAATGTCTGCTACTTGGTGATTGGTTCCCATTAATAACACCAGCAAGTCTTTCAACAAATCAACAAAATTTAGGTAGAAGATCTATTTACAATAAAAAATGGAGATTTTATAGGCTTAGTCCAAATTTAAAGTCTCTTCATTATAGTGATTTTGCAGAGAAAACTTTTATAAGAGATGGTGTTGAAGAGTTACCCGAAAGAAGTAAGGTCTTTTTTTTTTTTTTTTGCAAATTTAAATATTGTTTAAATTAATTTTAATTATTTTATTTTAATATTACAATAAAAGTTGATTTATCTCTAGTAACAGATGTGATGACGGGCTTAACGCCACAAATGTCAGCAACTACAGGTTCACCGACAAGAAAGTCCGTAGGCCTATCACAGGACCTAACGTTCTCTTTAATGTCTGGACCTGATACTGTACTAGCGGATTTTACGGTATCAGATTATACACAATTCTCAGAATGGACTGATGGATTAAACATGTTATTTGATAAAAATATTGGAAGCAAAGATACAGCAGAATTCATACAGATTCTGACAGAAATTGGAGTAAAGGTTAAATTGTTGGATTTGAGTGGTGAAAGAGTTGAAATACCACAAGGTGTTGAAGTACCTAGGGAGTTACCTGTTGTTGATAATGGATTTTATTATGATGACCCTTTTTCATAATATATGGCTTGATTTATTAGTGTAACTAATTAATTTATATATATACGTAGAAAATTTTACTTCTCAGAGTTTGAAAGTTAATTTACATTTCTTATTTATTATTTACATAATTATTAGACATAATTACTATTGTATACATTTTTTAGTTTTTAGATTGTAATCTTAAAATGGATTCGCGGGAACGTGCAAGATTATTATTATTGTATAACTATTATTATTATTATTATTATTTTTTTATCAAAAAAAAAAATCGAAACATTAATTAAAGGCATACAATTATTGTGATCAGAGCTTTTCATGATTAACTTCTATCTTTTTTCAATAGACATCAGTTATGATTTATTTTATTGCTTATCACTTTTATATAAATATAACTTATAATTAATTTTTTGCCAGAATGTTTTATAATTTCAGAGAAATGTTAACTATTATAACCTACATTATTACGACATCACTTAGTCATATCCATATGCCTTCAAATGTTTGTATCTTCAGCAGAAATAATTTTATCAATTTAGATTTATGGTATAAAATAGGTTATTAAATTTTATCTATGCGTACCGCTAGTCCTTAAAATCTAATCAGCTATACACGTACAGTATTTAAATAATGATAACACGTCTTTTTCATCATGCAACTGATATATTAACAAATTGATAATATAACGGAAGAGGGAAACCTTGAGTGTAAATATTTAAGATTTTACTGGCGAACTTAGCCCTTGAAAAATTGATTATTGGTATTATCTGTGTTTTGGTTTTTTCATCTCCGATAGGAATCTAGACTTTAGCCCCTGGCACTTATTTAATAATTATCTTTATAAATTATAATTATTTTGTAGTTTTGTTCAATGATATTATTGTTAAAAATCACAATTTTTTATTCAGATCAAAGAATCCCCTATTTATTTTTATAAATTGTTTTATTGTTAAAAGTATGAAAAAAAATCTATTTTATTGTAATGTTTAAAAAAATATTGCCTTTATATGTTATATTGATGTTAAATAAATTCTAGAATATAAAATACAAATTTAAAGTTATGACGACAATATTATTTTCTATAAATTATCGTTATTGTTATTAACTGCAAATGGATGTGTTAAAAGTTCTTTAGCAGTCGGTCGATCATCTTGGTTTCTAATAACAATAAGAAAAAAAATAAATAAAAAATCGTTAAATTTTATTGCTTATTTTGAATAATAAATTTATATATCATCTGATAACATACGACTTAAATGTTTTGCTCAAGAAATCCTGTGCCTCTTCGGAAATATCATCTGGAATTTTAGGCGCACAAGCTTGTAATCCAATCTATATTTACATAAATCAATTAATTATATTTAAAAATTTGATAACGTTAATAAATTCATTGATACCTTAAACATTGCTTGCGTTTGGTTGAATTCTGGAAAAGGATGATCCCCAGTAAACATTTCAACAATCAAACATCCTAAACTCCATATATCAGCTTTACTTGTATAAGGTGTTTGTTTTATAACTTCTGGTGCCATTCAAAACACTGAGCCCTGTAATGATGGCCGATGTGCTGAAGTCACTGCCATAAATTCTGTTGCATAATAAGATAGATTACAAATAAATAAGAATTATGCAACAAAAATAATAATAACAACAACAACAACAACAACAATAATAATAATAATAATAATAATAATGGTAATAGCTATTATAATTATTATTATAATAATGTTAATTATAATAATAATAGTAATCAAAATGAAAATGGTGAAAAATCTGATGATTTATTATCCGAATGTACTCAAGTATTATATGATAAATTAGTTGTACATTCAAATCGATTAGTGGAAGCTATTAATTTGTTTGCAACTTTTGTTCAATCGAAATTACCAGTTATGATTCATGAAGAATGTGAGCAATTATTATTTAATTATTTGATTTTTTTTTTTTATTTATTTATTTTGCTTCTCTTTAACATTTATTTATTATTAATCTCTTTCCTCAAATGAAATTGTATTAGTAACACTTCCCATGGAGAAACCTTATCAAAAGTATGTTAATGTCATTATATATATATATATATATATTTATATATTTTGATTTTATTAATTTAATTATTATTATTAATTTTATTAACTTATTAACTCATTATTAATTTCTTTCTTTCTTTTCCTTACAGAGAAAAGAATTCATGTAAATATTATTATTCTATTTTTTACGTGACTTAATTTTTGCTTATTTTTGCTTATTTAATTTCATTTAACTTATTTAACTTATTTAACTTATTTATTTTTACTTATTTTGACAGTTAAAAAAAAGGTATTAAAAAGTCTTAGATCATTTAAACGACATTCAGCTTCTTCGAATTCGTCGGTGAAAAGTAATTGTAAATATGATGAAAATTCCAATTATTCGGATCGTTCAGATCGTTCAGATCGTTTAAGTGGTCGAAATAGTTTCAGATTTGAACGCGGACGATCCTTATTTTCGCGTAATCAAAAAAGTAATGAAACATTAAATTACAGTAAACGAACGGTAATATATAAATTCTTATATCCATTTCTATATATAC